TAAAACTTTAGAATCTCGCGCCATCGATGTGTGCTGCGTCTCCGAAACGCGCATACAGGATCCAAGTAGCGTCATTCATTTGACCTCACCATGCCAAAATAAAGGACCGACTCGATTTACGCTTCGTGTATCTGGGAGCCCTGATTCTGCTTCCCGTGGCCTCGCCGGCGTAGGTATAGCATTGAGTCCTAGAGCAGAACTAGCTCTCTTAGAGTGGATCCCAGTAGACAGTCGTTTGTGCGCTGTCCGACTGGACGGAACAGTAAGAATCCGGAAAGATAGGGACACTCGTCGTTGCCTCTTCGTCGTCTCTGCCTATTCTCCCACTGACTGCAGCTCAGATGATGTAAAAAATGAGTTTTACAGAAAGCTTTCGGACCTTCTCCGAAAAGCTAGACGCTCGGATGTAGTATTAGTGGCCGGTGACTTTAATGCTCAAGTAGGTAAACTAAGCGATAGGGAAAGACACCTAGGTGGATCTTATGGTGTCGTGGCTCAAAGAACAGATAATGGCGACCGTCTGTTGCAGCTGTGCTCAGATAACCGCCTGTTCCTTACAAATACTAACTTTAAACATAAGGAAAAACATCTTTTAACATGGCGACCACCTAATTCGTCCCAACGTTGGACCCAAATAGATCACATCGCTATCAGCTACCGATGGAGGGGCTCGATAGAAGACAGTCGCTCATTCTGGAGCACATGCCTAGATTCAGATCATGCTCTAGTGCGAGCGCGTATTTGCTTGCGTCTTACTGGACGTAGGAAAGACGCTGCAAGAAAACCTCTTAGGGGCCTACTTAATGATAGTCAAGCTAAGAGTATATTTGAGGAACAACTAGGAAAACAGTTAGGCAGCCATGTATGTGATGCCGACCCCGAGGCAGCATGGAATGATATCCGAAAAGCTGTGGAAACAGCAGTGATATCTGCTAGTAAGGTAAACCAGAAGGTTAGGGAGGAACACTGGATCTCAGCAGCATCTATCTCACTGATAGATGCTCGGAAACTCATTCCACCTGGCTCTGAACATAATGAAGAGCGGAGTCAGCTTAAGCGCAAGCTGACCAGAAGCCTATGCAATGATCGCGAACAGTGGTGGGTGGCGAAAGCAAGAGAGATGGAAAAGGCAGCGGCAATAGGTAATAGCAGACAATTGTTCAGACTCGTTAAGGAAACCGGAATTAGGAACCCGACCGTTAGCGAAACAATCTCAGAGAAAGATGGACATGTTATTCATTCTCAATCCAGGAGATTGGATCGATGGGCAGAACACTTTAGGGATCAGTTCAACTGGCCTTCAGCCACACTTCGGTTTCCCACGATCTCTAGTCAACCTGAATGGCAAGTTAATGTAGGTCCTCCGACTTTTTACGAAGTTGAAAACGCTATAAGAAATCTGAAGCAAGGGAAAGCAGCAGGCCCTGACAGGTTTACTCCTGAGATTTTTAAGGATGGTGGTCCAGTATTAGCAATGAGATTAACCGAGGTATTAGGTAGAATTTGGGAACTGGACGTAATCCCACCTGACTGGTCTCAATCACTAATTGTGCCAGTCTATAAGAAAGGACAAAAGTCCTCTTGTGACAATCACAGAGGAATTAGTTTGACTAATGTAGTGTCTAAAATATTAGCTTCAATAATACTTCGACGCCTAATCAAAGCTCGTGAAGAGCAGACTAGAGAAAATCAGGCTGGTTTTCGACCTGGACGTGGTTGTATAGATCAGATATTCACACTACGTCAGGTTCTAGAACACAGACACACATTCAGACGCCCCACAATGGTAGTATTTCTCGACCTTAAGGCGGCATTCGACTCTGTTGATCGTGAGGTTCTATGGCAGTGTTTGTCACTGAAAGGAGTACCAAAGAAGTACATTAACCTTGTAAAGGCTCTCTACTCGAACACAACTGGTAGAGTGAGAGCTTATGGCGAACTGTCATCAGAATTGATTACCTCAAGTGGTGTTCGTCAGGGCTGTCCACTCTCCCCATTCTTGTTCAACTTTGTCGTGGACGTACTTCTAGAGATAACACTTTCCTCGTCTAGATTTCCAGGGGTTGAACTTCTACCAGGAGGTTCACTTGTTGACTTAGAATATGCAGATGACATAGTTTTATTTGGTGAAGACGCTGACAAAATGCAGAGTCTTCTGACCACTCTAAGCAACAATGCAGACATGTTCGGGATGCGATTCTCGCCCTCGAAATGCAAAATGTTGCTTCAGGATTGGGTTCCATCGACACCCGAACTAGTGATAGGGAGTGAAGTAGTTGAGTGTGTCGACCGCTTCACTTATCTTGGAAGTCTCATCAGCCCTTGTGGTTTGGTGTGTGACGAAATCTCAGCACGGATACAGAAGGCTCGACTAGCTTTAACCAACTTGCGTCATTTATGGCGTAGGCGAGATATCCGTCTATCAACCAAAGGACGTGTTTACTGCGCAGCAGTTCGTTCCGTCCTACTTTATGGCAGTGAAACATGGCCGGTAAGAGTAGAGGATATCCGTAGGCTACTAGTATTTGATCATAGGTGTCTTCGAAACATTGCTCGTATATCATGGGACCATCGAGTAAGTAACGCAGTTGTTAGGAAACTGGTACTAGGTAAGGATGGCAAATCAATTGATGAAGTAGTGAAACTTCATCAGTTGAGATGGCTGGGACACGTGTTACGTATGCCCAACGACCGACTGCCTCGATGTGCGATGTTCAGTGGTATAGGAGTAGGTTGGAAGAAAGCTAGGGGCGGCCAAACCAAAACATGGCACAAGTCCATGAAGTCACTGACAAGTGAACTGAGTCATGTTGGTAGGTGTAGACTACTTGGTTGGGGACCGCGAGATGATAGCAACCGATGGTTAGAGACCCTGAATGACATGGCTCAAAATCGTTTGCAATGGCGCAGGTGCATCCACTCTCTGTGTTCTCTCAAATTCTAATCTTCTGAATTCTTCATGTCCCTTTTTTCCTCTTTCCAAATTTATTTCACTGGATTATACTCCTTGAATAAAATCTTCGAACCCTAATCTTCCCGATTACTGCTTATACTCTTATTACCTCTACCACAATGGGATTTGAATCGACAACTGCATCTCTGTGCTAATGTGGTGTGGCAACTCGAACTGATGTACGTACGTACGAAGTTCTACGTTGTTACTGACTGACTGACTGTGTGTGGACTGAGATACTGCCCGGGTGCCCAAGCCGAAGCAGGTAGTTTTCTTAGGGTGCCACATCCAGAGCCTTTGAAATAAAGATCTGGTCCACAAGGTAGTGGAGCAACTTTAGGAGATGCAGTTCCATGGTAGCCGGTGACCAACAATAGGTTCATGCGCCTTTTGTTCCTTCAGAATACTGGAGCCCATGTTGGAATCAGGATTTTCCGACTCTCCTAGGTGAACTCTCCATGTCCACCGGCCTGGTTAAAGCGCCGAACACTCGCCGTTCGTCCTCTCAATTTCGTAAACAACATCCTCGCCGCGAGAAGGCAGTGAGTAGGACTTCCCTGGCAGAGTCTGTATACACGTGGCTTTGTGAGAGCATTTCGAAAGGGAGGGCCGGCCCTTCCCACTCTCGGCCGTACCAGGGCATTCGGGGGCCTGGACATGTGCTGTGAATGCCGATGCTGGGACTAGTTGTAAAATGCGGAGAGGTGGTTAGTGTATGACATTGTGTCGTGGTATGAAGGAAAGCTGTACAGGACCGGATTCTGTTAACCCTTCATGACGTTCTGTTTGGGGTTCCAGAGATGATGTAAGACAATGTCTTGAGACGTTATCAGATATGGCTCAGAATAGAAGCCATTGGCTATCCTGCTGTAACTTTCTTTTACTTTCATCATGAAAAACGAACTTTACTTTTCATTTGATAGGATTTTTCCCGGTTGTATTACATCTAACTGAACTACTTTTCCAATAATAATAATAATAGTTATTATTATTATCTCACTCATGTACCAATTTATGTTCATTGTTCTTTTATTATACGCACGTTACATTATCTCTTCACAAGCTCATTGTAACTGTGTGGCGCATATGTATTTGATGCCCTCTTGTACCAATGTTGTGTTCGGATAAATAAATATATTCATACGTATCCGATAACGTCTCAAGACAGTGCACCATCTGTAAGACCAAAAACAGGAAGTCATTAAGAACCAACAGATGCCAGTCATGTACAGCTTTATGTCTCACCAGTCCTAGCATTGACAAATAATGCACGATGTGGAATTCACTGGGACGACATAGTGCATGTTCGAGCAATCGAAGTCGGTGTTTCATGATGGTGACACTGATTGAATTGTCGTCACCGTATAAAAACTCACGCTACTGAACCTCGGGCATTACTAACATGTTGTTACCCTTGAATGTCAGAAGGCCAACGATCAAACGCAGAGTCGTCTAACACCCTCAATCAGGGAAGACCGAGTTTCACAAGCATAGAGCAAAACTGGTCTAATTGACGCGTTATAGATTCGATCTTTTACAGCCAGACTAGCAATATCAAGGCTCCAAACATGGCTCAGATTCGGGTAAACCGCTCTGTTTTTTACTATACGCGAATTGGTCTCATCACTCACGCCACCAACTTTGCTATGCTGCCTTCTCACAAGGAAGGATGGGGTTAGAAAAGATTGACCTTAAGAATGCACACCTCGCCTTATCCCACAGATTTCCGTCTCCAGCGGTGAGGTCCCAACAAGCACGGAGCTAACAAAAAAATTACCCACAAGAAGGTCGTGTGTGACTGGCTTTAGGCATTTGTCCCTTGGGTACTGCGGTCATGTTCTCAGGTTACTAAGACCACCTCTTTCCCTTTTCAGGTACGTCCAGAAGAACCCTTCCACAGTGTGAGCGATCGGGAAGTAAAAACCGCTTTCATACTTCTAATAGTACTCAAGACCACTGTATACATAATCAACCTCCCTCTTCAATTCCTACTATTCCTCCCACCTCGACTTTCAACCCTAAAATTCCTCTTTTGGCTTCCTCCTCAAGTGTCACCCTAGCCAACGATTCTAGTACGCGAAACACTGTTCCAGGTCTACTGAAACCTCTCTCCAAACTACACATTGGAGACTTCAACGTACACACCCTATGTCGAATCGGCCAGCAGACCTCCTTGACTAAGACTCTGGAATCTCGTACCATTAATGTATGCTGTCTCAGAAACACTCACACAGGACCCTAGTGTGGTCAGTCACTCGACCTCAGCTCGCCGAAATGATCTTACGGCTCATCAACCGACCTGTATGACATGGTAGGACCTTAAGGAACAGTTGTTGCAGCCAGTATAGCTCGGTTGCTTCGTCACGTTAGGCAAGCCCGACCACCACGTCAAGGTAGTAACAACAGTCGAGCAATCCGCACTTAATCAGTTGGCAATCAATGTCCGTATGTACGGTATGTGCTTTGCACCTTCGAAGTACAAAGTACTTTTACAAGACTGGCAGGATTCTGATCATGTACTCACTTTGGGTGGTGAGCAGGTAGAAGTAGTCGGGAATTTGTGTACCTGGGTAGATGCATAAGTGCTGGTGGTGGCGTGAGTGATGAGATCAATGCACGTATAGTGAAAGCCAGAGCGGCTTATGCCAATCTGGGCCACCTTTGGCGCCTTCGTGATGTTAGTCTGACTGTAAAAGGTCGAATCTACAACGCATCGGTGAGTGCAGTTTTACTCTATGCTTGTGAAACCTGCCCTCTCCGAGTTGAGGACGTTAGACGACTCTCTGTGTTCGATCATCGCTGTCTCCGAAGGATTGCTGACATCCAGCGGCAACACCATGTCAGTAATGAAGAGGTTCGGCATCGTGTGTTCGGGCGCAGAGACGATAGTTCAATTGGTGTCACCATCTCGAAACATCGACTTCGGTGGCTTGGACATGTCCTACGAACGTCGTCCCAGAGAATTCCACGTCGTGCATTATTTGCCGACGCGCGGACTGGTTGGAAGAAGCGGAGAGGTGGTCAGTGTATGACATGGTGTCGTGGTATGAAAGGAAGCTGCAAAGGACTGGCTTCTGTCGGTCCTTCACGACTCCCTGGTTGGGGTCTGAGAGATGGTGCAACACAGTGGCTAGAGACGTTATCAGATATGGCTCAGAATAGAAGCCAGTGGCGATCCTACTGTAATCTTCTTTTACTTTCTTCATAAAAAGTGGTTGTATCTTCCTTAACTGAAAGAATTCTTCTGGTTGTACCTTTCTGTTTCTCGCATTATTATTATTATCATTACACTACCATACACTAAGCTGTGGTCGTTATTGTTCTTTTTTTATTTCTTATACGCACCTTACCTTCTTTCTTACTCCCCATTCTCATTGCTTTGTGTGGCACATGTATATTTGGTGCCCCCGTGTAGCAATATTTGTGTTCAAATAAATAAATTGTCTGAATAATTAATAATACTAATAAACCACAGAAAATAATGCGGTCATGTGAACTTTCAATCATAGGTAAACAATTGTCAGACGTTTTTCAAGTACATTAGTGGCAAACAAAAGTGATTATTCTAATTTGGAATTCCCTAGTTAGAGAACAGAGGAATGAAAGACCGTCCGAATATTAGGATCAGCGGTAACTTGTATGGATAGAGACTGTCAAAAGCTAACTTTTTGACCTCTTTAGTATTCGTCTCGTGCTAATGAGATGTGGCTAACCCACACTAGTGCCAGACTACATTGCTTACGATTGAGTTGCTACTATTTCAATAATCATATTTTGGACATGAATCTTTCTATCCCTTATTATATCAGTAAAAATCAGAACTGTAGAATACGAAACAAGAATGATTAGAAAATGACGAGGGTCACTTGGGGAAAGACGTGACAACAAGCAGAGAACACTTAGTTTACCTAGGTAAAATCCAATGAGGAAATATAGGTAATATTTTCTATCAAAATGCGATATGCATTTCAGCAACCATTGACCCATATATTGTCTATTGCACGTGCCACTAGAAGTGAGTTTTTTTGTGCTCCATTGGGAAACTTGACTCTGAATTCACATCTCAATCTCTGCCTAAACTTACGTCGAATAGCCTAATTTGCTCTCAAATTTCGTTTTGTGTGGCACATGTATATTTGGTGCCCTCGTGTAGCAATATTTGTGTTCAAATTAATATATAAATAAATATCAACTAATCAGTTTTCATTGATTGCCAAAATCACAGTAACTTTATTAAAATAAACGAAAGTTAATTGAAGTTCAGTTTATTCAATGCATATTGATTGAAATTATGCAGTTGAAAATATTCAGGAAGTCATTAAACAGTTTTATTTTCGAACAAATTAACGCAACGAAATGCATTAAAAGTTGACTGACCAAAAATCACCTTAAATATGTGCAAATTTTAAGGTGGATTTTCTTTTTTGTATGTTATATTTGGAAGTGTCATAACCCTAATATCCCTCATTTTCAAAATGGAACAGTCCGAGGTTAGTTTTTGGTCTTTCTTTTCCGATTAATGACTGGATATTTAGTTCACAGGTGTTCTTTCCCCCAGAGAATAAAACACCGATCGAGTGAATCTAAGCCATTTGTTCTTAACTGAATCTTAACGGTTAACAGATAGCTTAGAGGCAAATTGATAATATGACCGTTAAAATGGGCTATCTTGTTTATGTGGGTACTGCGGTGATGTTTGCTGATGTGCCTGTTGATTTCATTTAGTTTGTTGTTTAGATTTCTCCGTTTTCTGGATTTTTTAGCATATTGTGACTGTGGCGTCCGTTTTAATAGCTTATTATATTACATTTACTGCTTCGGTGGTTTTTGAATGAGCATAATTTGGCAAAATGTCATGCACTTCAACGCTAACGTATAGATTTCAGAGTTTTCTTTTTGATAACTTATTGCTTGAGTGCAATGCGGTAAATCGTAAAGGCTTGGGACCAGGATCAGATTCATTGTTATGTGCATGAACTTCGAGATCACACTTTGTTGCAGACTGGACTAAAATGGTATAAATCCCGATATTCGTTAACCGTTAATCTTTGGCAACAACATCAATACAGCTTAACATGGGTTCTTATTCGATGTAATGCGGCAAATCAGAGCTAGTGGTTGAAGATGTATTAACTTCAAGAAAATTACCGTAGAAAATCTAGATAAATATGAACCGTTGATCCAGTTAACACTTATATCTATCTTCAGTGTTTTCCACAATCATCCATAGTAGTCATTATTGTGAATTAAAATTGTGTTCGTTATTTTCTAATCATGAACAATTGGCTGAATATTTCAATACAAAGTGGTAGTTTCTTCTTTATGCGTTGTATTTGAGGATGTCACATCAACAACAGCTCTGTAGAGTAATCAAACTCGACTCAACCAAGTGTGATATCGATAGAACATCAACTCCACTATGATGCTTAGTGTGTTCAGTATTTCCATCTCTTGCAAATTTGATTCGTCTTGATTACTTACCACACGTAGATTTGGTGGCTCAGCGATCAAGACCCTCTCAGCCGCTAAGTTACGAGCCTGATCTCTGTCCCACCTACTTCAACTTTGGGGATTGGGTAGTATCGAAGCTCTTGCACTTAATGCGTGGCTCGTAGCCTAAGGTATAGATCTATACTTGGTAAATGACCCTTAAAAAATATAAAACACTTCTGACCACTCCCACATCGTCAGTTACGTAACAAAGACACCGTAGAAATTAGTTAACCGATTTTATCCAGAGAATGTTACTCCACCAATGTCCTTGCTCCAGGTTGTCGAAGACTCCTTCATATCTGTTATAATTCTCTCTTACGGTTATAACCCAGTTATTCCTATTGCTTAGTATTCTCGGACACCGATTCACTCGACAAGTCCCCAAATCAGAACACGGTTGAACAGCAAAGAGATTATATTCCAATAACAAGGTTAGATGGAAGTAAGAAGCACAATAGGGAAAACGTTAGTATATTTATAGTTTTTCACATGAGATTTCTAGTGTTCACTAAGTATTGACTAACACTGATTGGATAAGAATTAGCCAATCAGCGTGCACCAAAGCAATCGTGCATTGAGCATGCTTTAATCCAGTCTATGTCCCGCTAACAATATTCTTTTCGGATTCCTCGTTTATATTGATGCTTATGTGTAAAAAATAAAGCTTTCTCATAATCGATGTTTAAAATCACGAATGGTTAACTGGTTGATTTTATTTCGAAATATTTTCTATGACTTTCGCGGTTATCATTCTAGCGTTTCCTTTGTAGATGAAGAAGCGATTACATCGATCTGTCGGTTGTTTTGGATTTAGATCTATTCATCTTTTTTCAAACACAGCGATTACCAGTAAAAAGCTGCAATCCAAAAATCCCCCTATTCAGAACTCTGATCCAGACCCCAAAACGTATAACAAAGGACAAAATTTACCAGCATCTAGTGATTATGACCTAATGTTAAGTAGTCTAGTAAAAGAAAATGGTACGTATAATTAGTTTTGGAAAAATACGTAAAACCATATATAAGGTCGATTTTACTTAAATTCAGCATGTAATGATGATGCTAGTTGAATTATTTGCGATGAGTAAGAACGGTTATTTTATCCATTGTACAGCTACCTCCTAGTTTAGAATTTCATTCATTTCTGGATATTAAGGTTAGTTAAAACGATAAAATCTTATAAACATTAGACATTTAGTGCGTGTTAACCTTTTCTGAAATTTCGTTGAAGCTAAGGATAAAATACAAAGGGAAAATGTATGTAAAAAATTGTTCTGTTGAATTTTTAGTGTTGAACTAACAATAAATTTGGCACAGTGCTGCGTATGTATAAATACATAATACACACAAAGTTCAACGAAATCACATACTATGAACTGACTATGAGCTCACATAAGTATATGACTTAGTTTTTATCATAACTATGTATCTCGAAAGGATTGTCAGAAATCTGTCTGCTGTTATTGGCTGAGGTCTATCGATGTGTGTTTGTAGATATCTGAGATTATTGTCCAATGAATAATATTATTTTAAAACGGGCCTTTGTGTCTTGCATATATTTCGTGCATTTATTTTCAACAACTTTTATGCGGATCACTAATCGCCGACGTTGGTAGTAGATAGAAATTGCGAGTAGGTGTTGATTTTGTGACAAGAATTCATGTAATAAAGCATAGTTTTTAGTTCTAAAAATTTTGCAACCCAATAGCTTGCGGCTTTATGAGACATAAGTCAAATTGAAAATTAGTGATGATTATTCTGGATTTTTTCGTCATATCCTTTGTAAATAGCAGGTGCCTTTTTAACTGAACGAAGTGTATTTCATTTATACTGTGTTCCTCCAAAGTTCTTTTTAGTCTTGTGGTTACTTCTCTTCATTTCTTCACGATATCATTTCGTTCTTTGTAGCGTATTTCATAGTGTGCTGTTGTGACAGCTATTTTGGTATCAAAACGTTAGTCTTACTGGTTGCTTGGTGTTTGTCGAAATTATTACAAGATGTTTGACAAACTTTGTTTTCATTTGGATGCGTGTTTTTTGACTGAATTCGCTTATACTTACCAGTGTATTTGCTTCTCGATTCAGCGAGTCAAATGATATCCATTATTCGGTTGACTTTTCTATTGTACGTTGAGTTTTGCTTACTCTAAAAGCATTGAATTCAAGGAGATTGGGTTAGCCTATGTGCTATCAAGCAATTACTTATTTTGATGAGTAGTCTGAGCACCTATTATTTTTCCTTCTAGTCGTACATCTATACCCACTTCCAAAACTAGCTACTTACCTCACAGCCGTTTTTCAGAATGTTTTCGGTGGGAAAATGAAAGAGACCTAAGTAGGTCAGTCGACTCTTCTCAACCTCATTTCTATTTTGGAAGAACGATCTGAGGCAATCGTATTTTGGGGGGGGGGTCTGGTAGGACAGTCATTCAAGTTTAACAACGTTACTTTTTCAGAAGCAATCTGGTGATACATTGTATCAGTACACAAAATGTGTAAATAAAACTAGGTAGATCTACGTGGTTTTAATCGGGATTGATCTGTTGTTTCACATTTTATCATCATCTAACACAGACTTCCCGGAGCTTAGATTTCTACTGTAATCAAAGTCGTTGAATCATTTTTAGCGATCATGTTGCCATTTGTTATAACTCTGTTTCTTACGGTTAATGACCCAGCTATTCCTATTGCTTAGTATTCTCGGACACCGATTCACTCGACAAGTCCCCAAATCAAAACACGGTTGAACAGGAAAAAGATTATATTCCAAATAGCAAATCAGAAGCATAATAGGGAAAAACGTCAGTATATTTATAGTTTTTTACATAAGAAGATTCCAGAATATTCTCCGACTATCGACTGGTGCTGATTGGATAAGAATCAGCCAATCAGCGTGCAGCAAAGCAATCATGCATTGAGCATGCTTTAATCTAGTCTATGTCCCGCTAACACCTCCCCTCTGAGCAGATTCGTAGGATCTGGTGCTAGGGTCCAACTGCAACCGAGTGACTGGCCTGTGCTTTCGATTAGTCCATCGTCTAGGCAGTAAAGAAGTATCACTCTTTTCTTGCACAGAAACTGATGTGTCTATTCCCGGCGTTTTGATTTCAAAGGTGTCTAGCAGAACATCAAGAGGTAATCGATATTGAATCTTGTTGCTGGCTATCGAGGTTGCTTTCAATTGGTTAGCATGACGTACCCAAACTTCCGAGCCAACTGACACCTCGTAAACCACACTCCCCTTCTTTTTCAAGATCCGACCAGCTGTCCATATAGGATGTTTCCCACGATAGTCCATAGCAAGCACTTTTTGTCCCACAGTGAACAATCGTCTTTGTGCCCCCTGATGTCGGTTAAACTGTTTCTCCATCGATAGGTTTCGTTGGGGTTCAATAGCTGGCGTAGGACGGATGACATCGAAATGTGTACGTATCTTTCTGCCAAGTAGAGCTTCTGCTGGAGAGAGCCCGTTAATTGTCTGAGGGTTCGGTGTAGAACGATAAATAAACAGGAACCTCTCTAAGATATCTTCAGTGGTCCCTTCCCCTTTGGATTTTTTTAGAGCATTTTTAAATGTACTCACAAAGCGTTCCACTTGGCCATTTGATTGGGGATGGTATGGAGGTGTTCGGATGTGCTGGATTCCGTTCTGCCGACAAAATTGTGAGAAGATTTCGGACGTAAACTGTGTTCCGTTGTCACTAACTATCAATTCCGGGATTCCAAAACGACTGAATAGTTGACGTAGTTTACTGACTGTGCAGCTTGCAGTCGGGTGTTCCATGAGAAAAATTTCTGGCCACTTGCTATATGCATCAACCACCAAAAGGTAAGTTTGTCCATGAAGTGGACCAGCAAAGTCCAAATGTATACGCTGCCACGGTGACTGTGGTATTGGCCATGATTGCAGCTCTGCTTTTCGCGGTGCTTTTGTTGCTAATGCACATTTGGTACACGAACGGGATAGCTTCTCCAGTTGGGTGTCTAAATGCGGCCAGTATACATAACTTCGTGCTAGTGCTTTCATGCGATTTATTCCAGGATGTCCTGCATGCAATTGTTCAAGCACTGCTGGTTGTAGCTTCTTGCGAATTATGACACGTTCGGCAAACAGCAGACAGTCATCGATGATTGAAAGAGAGAGTCTTCGCTGGTAAAACTGTTGAAGGTCTGTGGAATAGATTTTCGAGGGCCACCCTTCTAGGTGAAACTTTCTAACTTCTTGTAGTGTTGGGTCTCGAAGCGTTTCTTCCCTGACTTCATCTGACGACACTGGAGTGTTTCGAATGGCATCTGCCACTATACTTCGTATTTCTGGGTCTACTGCTGTGGAGGCAATGATTATATCCTCTGGTCCAGGATGTTGAACTCCAATTAATCGGGAGAGAGCGTCAGCTTGACCGATAGTATTTGTTGACTGATACTTGATATTAAAATCATAACTCAGGAGCATTGTTGCCCAGCGCTGTAGTCTATTAGCCGTATAGACAGGGATTCCTTTCTTAGAACCAAAGATTGCAATCAAAGGTTTGTGATCTGTCAGTAGAGTAAATGTACGACCATAGAGCATTTTATGAAATCTTTTGACTGCGAAAATGATTGCAAGAGCTTCCTTTTCAATTTGGCTGTAGTTTCGCTCGGCTGGAGTAAGTGATCTAGCAGCATGGGCAATTGTCTTCTCTGATTTATCCGGAAACACGTGAGATATCACTGCTCCAACTCCATGACTAGAGGCATCAGATGCAACAACAATTTCCAAGCTGGGATCGAAGTGCGTCAAAAGAATCTTTGAGCTGAGCATTGATTTGACTCTGTCAAAAGATGCTTGACATTCTGCTGACCACTGCCAAGGTTTATCTTTCGATAGTAATTCATTTAGGGGACCTCTCACTCGGTGCATTTCAGGCAAGAATGTGCTGTAATGACTGATTAACCCCAAGAAGGATCTTAATGAAGAAACATCAGTTGGTGCAGGCATCTTCTGAATGGCTTCGATGTTGGCAGGGTCTGGTCGGCGACCGTTCTTATCTAAGATAAAACCAAGGTATTTGATCGAATGCATGAAGAAGATACATTTTTCCTCACGTAGTCGGAAACCATACTCCAACACTCGGTTAAGGACTTGGTGTAGTCGATCAGAAAGTTCACTGTCAGTTGAACCCATAACTATGATATCATCTAGATAAGCTGCTGTACCAGGTATACCTGTTAGCATCGTATCCATTATTTGCTGAAAGATGGCGGGTGCGGTCTTGATGCCAAATGGTAGACGGGTGTATTGAAATAACCCTCGATGAGTGTTAATGGTCAGAAGCTCTCTACTATCTTCATCTACTTCCACTTGGAGATAAGCATCGGAGAAGTCTATTTTCGCGAAACATGTCCCACCATTAAGCTTGGCAAACAGGTCTTCCGGAACTGGTAAGGGAAATTGATATACATCTAACGCAGCATTTAAACCGGTCGAGAAATCGGCACATATGCGTATAGTCCCATTGGCCTTCTTAATCACTACAATCGGTGCGGCCCATGCAGAGTAGTTAACTGGTCGGATTACACCAGCCTGCTGCAAGCGATTAAGTTCCTGGTCGACTAGCTCAAGAGCAGCATATGGCACAGGACGTCTCGGGCGAAAAATAGGTATGGCATCTGGTTTCACTGGTAAGTGCGCTTTCATCTTGGTACAGTGGCCAAGGCTATTCTGAAAAACAGAGGCAAACTTTCTTTTCAGTTTTTCTAGTAACCGTTCATCTGTCTTCTTTGGAAGTAATGGGGTGTCCAATGATGAACACGATACGTTACAGACACTGTTAATTGGTATATCCATTATTCCAAGTTTGTCTAGCATATCTAGACCAAGAAGATCAAGGTTCGGCCGTTCTGTTAGGTAACATATTCCTGTACAGTTAGTTCCATTGAAGGAAAATTCACACTGTAATTCACCAACCAGTTTTAGCACACCACCTGATGCGTTTTTAGCCGTTTTCTTAGATGGCTTCATTGGCGGTTTACCCAGCAAGTTATACGTTTCTCTAGACAATAACGTGATATCTGATGCCGTGTCAATTTGAAGACGAGCTGATATGCCGTTTATCTGGATGGTAACATACTTTCTCCGAATGTCATAGTTTGTTTGAAAAGCAGCTACCAGAGAAAGAGATTTAGACTCGGCTGATTTCACATGTCGAGGACGTTTATGCTTCTTCTTAGGCTGAGACGTACGCTTCGGTGGACAATGACCTTCTTTATGTCCACGTTTGTTGCACTCCTGACATTTATGCTTCTTGAATGGACAGAATCGTGCATAATGCCAATCACCGCATAACCAGCATGCAGTCCTTGGTTTGTTACGAGTTGTTACCGGCTTCTGAACTTTTAACCTAGTAATAGTATTTACACTACCGCAGGTTAATTTAGGATTTACCTGTTCAATCAACTCGTTGTCGTGTCTGATGCTTTGTAGACGCTTACACTCATCTGTCATTGTTCTGAGTGTGACGTTTGGGTCTTGATCCAGTCGAGCTAAAAGTCTCGTCCTGATCTCAGCATCTTGTGGTGACTGAAGAGCTTTGATGAATATTAAGCATTTAAATTGGTCATCAGTCAACGAGCGTAACTTGAAACGTTCACATTCTCTGTTGACAATGTCTGCTAGAACACCATATTCATCAGCTTCGCGTTTCACCAAATTTAGACACCGATAACGAATACTAAACAACGAGGATGACTCGCCGAATATCTCTGACAACTGAAATACCGTCTCCTCGAAACTGAGCTCTCGAGGTAACTTTGGCAATATATGGTCAGCAAAACGTGCATGTTCATTGCCTCCCAACTTACGTACCAACAATCGGGTCTTCCACGCATCGTCTTGGTTACAGAATTCTGTTCTAAATGTATCTTCCCAACGTTTGAACCACGTGAGAAAAGTATTTCCACTTTCGGGATCATAGATGAATTCTGGGATGCTGCTAGCAACTGCATCACAAGACGTACTTAAAATAGCATGTGAACCCGAGCTGTGAATGTTGAGCTGTTGAGTCAGGGTCTCTAACAACCGCATTTGTGCATCAAGTTGTGCTTGCTGTTGTTGTAGTATTCGGTTAAGCTGGTCATCTGATATGGGCATTTTGAATTTGTTTTCCTTTTTCCCCGTCGCCACTGTTATAACTCTGTTTCTTACGGTTAATGACCCAGCTATTCCTATTGCTTAGTATTCTCGGACACCGATTCACTCGACAAGTCCCCAAATCAAAACACGGTTGAACAGGAAAAAGATTATATTCCAAATAGCAAATCAGAAGCATAATAGGGAAAAACGTCAGTATATTTATAGTTTTTTACATAAGAAGATTCCAGAATATTCTCCGACTATCGACTGGTGCTGATTGGATAAGAATCAGCCAATCAGCGTGCAGCAAAGCAATCATGCATTGAGCATGCTTTAATCTAGTCTATGTCCCGCTAACACCATTTTTCATACTTATTTACTAATTTCCAAGTTTAATGTTCTAAAGAGTGTTTTGATACATTATCATATTGTTTGTTCTACATAATAGATGCCTCCTCATGTTCCACTTCTCAAGTGACCAATACTAATGTGCATAATAGTAATCTATCACACACAAAAACTAGCAACGTCGAGGAAAATGGAAAATACTTAGTGTTTGGCGGTAAAGTTTCCGAACCTCGTGCCCCACGTATTTCTAATGTCAGAAAACAACAACCGATGAAATTTCAATCTCGTACACTCAGTCCTTCCGATAATCAAGATGTACATGAGTCGTTGCAAAGAAATTTTATCCTTAACTGCTCATCTGTTTCAACATTGAAGCGCAACTCTTCCGAAACAAGAAAAACTGATGATTTCGATCTACAATTTGAAAAGCAATTAAATAATGGTAGTAGACATTATGACCTAAATAATGATGTATCAGAAGATATTCACAATTACTTATTGAATTCTCCATCCTGTACAAATTTACTAAACACTGTAACTGCCAAATGTTCAGATAAAAAGTTGATTTCCAAGACGGTAAGTCTTGGAATTCCTACACAAAGGTAAATTATATATATATATTAAATGCTCTGTTTTTTCCTGTGGTAAAGAAATTCATGAAAATATGTTTTTCTAATGCATACTAAAAACCAACTGTTTATTTTCTACATGAATCCCGTTTGTCATAGAAAATAAAAGTTCCAGCCGTCCGACAGACTCATGCATTTGAATAACAACTAGTCTGTCGTAACCAAGTTTTGTGCCCAATACACTACTTCCACGTCAGTAAACCGTCAAGTAAACCACTAACATGCCGTTAATACTCCAAGGCCGAATGGGAAATTTTACTCGAAATATTTGGGACCCTGATAATTGACCAAACTTAGTGAATTTTCTGATTTTCACTATTATTAGTATCTGGTAATTATTATTATCGTAAAATTTCTCAGTATCGTTTATGTGTCAATGCTTATGATGTTATTGGTTAACATTTCCTTGGCAGTTATTTTTGTCACTAGAAATTTGTTTGTATTTAACAAACACTGTAAACTACTTTCAAAGCATAGTTTGTGATACTGTTTTGCAAATACGCTATGTATATATCACTGAATAAGGTGAAATATCAGATTATTGGATTTGAGTGATTTCTTCAGTCTACCTCAAGAGAACTTATAGCTGACTGAAAAACAATTGTGCAATTTCTGATTGGATTCTTTATCGCTTTGTAGTTTCTTTTCAAAGAACACATTTTCTTTTTAATTCCTTATTCACAGTCTATGTTTATATGCAGAATTTAACCTGATAAGTTTTGTTTAACTTGTGAACTTTATTCGAAAATTATGAAAGAGCATTTATATTTGATAGGTTAGGATATTAAATAATGATTTATTACCTAATGGTACTGTACTTTAAGTGATCACTAAAGAGAAGACAAATCCCAGCGTAAACAAAGACGGTACGAATAAACGAAAAAGATAAATATCAATCTAAGATATTAAGTGTGCTTTCCCTTAAATACGAACAGAATGAAGTACCACGTCACTTTTCCTAACATATAGAGCAAACAAATGTCTATTTTCGAAGTGTTATTACTAAGTTTTGATAATTTCAAATAACAACTATTGGTAAAAGTCTCATATCATGACATTGACATCATCAAAATTATTTTTTGACTACTATATATTCTGCGTTCTTCTGTACTACATAAACTTATACTAACTTCAGGCAACCAGATCTCTCGATACATTTAAACAGCAAAATCAATAAGGTTTGTCAAAAAAGGATTAATTATGTTTCACAACTCATAACCTATATACAGCCTAAGATTATATATATAATCTGTCACGTATAAAGCTAATCAAGATTGAAAGTGAAGTTATATCTCTTTCTCGGATTTAAATGGCCATGTTCCAAGTAAAAATGTCAACCAAGTTGATATACAAATTCAATTTGAAAGGCTGTACCAACAAGCCACGGACTTAAAACTTATAGATCATGACAGAAAGGTTTGGTCTGAATCCAAACTTGTTGATATGGCAAATCAACATTATATTTTCGCAATTTCACATCCAAGAATGTTGACGAAGGAACATATGTTGGCATTGAAGAATTTACAAAAGAATAAGACCATTATAATAAGACCAAATTGAGCTTCATGTATTGTAATAATGAATCGAAAAGATTATGTGTATAAAATAGCCCAAATTCTCAAAGATGCATCAAAATTCCAAGTTGGCAAATCTAGTAAATATGTCATCGGAACGATGGGAAACAGAGTTAATAAACAACCTACGGAACTTTTGAAAAAGGAACTCATCGATAATTCAACTTACAACAATCTGCAGGCAAAATGGTCGGAATTGCCTTTTATATATAGTTTCCATCATGTACACAAATTCAATATCCCGTTAAGATCTATAGTGTCTATGGTAGACTCACTAATATCATAAGTTAGCTCGATGGTTAACTAAATTATTAGAACCAATTCTTAAGAAATTGGCGGCTCATAGTTTAATAGACAGACCACAGTTTTCTGATGAAATGGATAATTTGAATAACCCAGATAAATTCATGATGTCTTTTGATGTCTGCTCATTATTTACACGCATACCATTAAAAGAGGTTGTTAATATAATTTGCGAACAGTCTGAACTACTTTCTTGACCATAAAATAAGTTGAGGAAATTATTATTGCTTTGGATAAAAGAAAGTCATCTCCAGTTCAGCAATAAATTGTACAAGCAAACAGGTAGGGTGGCCTTAGGATCGCTCCTATAGCCTACTTTGGCCGATGTTTGTGGTTAACCTAGAAGAAAAAAAAACTAAAACATGAAATACAGAATACGATACACCATTCCAAATCTGTCGATGTACGTTTATTATTTGTGATGACATGGATTATTTTCCAGTTGGTGTCTTTAACGTGTTTTGGACTTTTAGATGCCCGGAAACAGTAGATAACTGTTCTAACTTATCAATGAAACATGTATTAGGAATTCGGCCGTTAGTGAGACTATCTCGGAAAAAGACGTGAATATTATTCACTCTCAACCCAGGAGATTGAACCAATGGCCAGAACACTCTTGGAAAACGTTCAACTGACCTTCAGCCACACTTCAGTTACCAATTATTTCCAAGCAACCTGAATGGGAAATTGATATAAGTTTTTCAACTCTTGGTGAGGTTGGAAAGGCTATGAGCAGTCTGAAGCGAAGGAAATCAGCACGATCTGATAGACAGACTAACCCGCGGGGAAGTGGTTTAGTTTTAGCAGTTAGATTAACCGCGATCTTTGATAGAATTTGGGGACTATTTTATCTCGTCATGCTAATGTGGTATTGCAATTGCAGCTAACTTACATTCGTGCTAGATCCTACGCTGATTATAACTATCCGATAGGGAAGCAGGGTTGATTTTTCCTCAGTATGTGGTGGTTATTTTTCCGTCGTAAAATCATTTTATTTTAATTCTTGTCATTATGTCATTTTAATTGGTGCAAATTTTTCGAGTTGCTACCCTGTCTTTTGTTGCACAAGTTTAGCGTTATTCTATGTTGTTTTTTTTTCAGTAAGAATAATTGTATGTTATGATTATATTGTAACTGCATGTTATTTCCAAAATATAATTTATTTATGTAGTATTATTTATCTTACAAAAGATCTATATTTCGTTTGCTTGATTCATACATTTTAAGACCTTACTAATCCTATTTAGGCCAAATCATCCTCTAAAACTTTCTCCATCTTTTATGGAATCAACTTCAATGAAAACTGTTAATGATTCTTTGCGTCATGAATTAAAGCATCCATCTAGTTTCCTGTTTGCTAATGAACAAAGAGAAATGGTTGAGGAATTACAAGCAACAAGAATTATTCTTTTGAAACTGAAACGTTTATTAGTCGAGGTTAGTGACTGAAATGTTTTATTTTTTACTGGAGTAACTTTCTATTTCTCAGCATAGTGTTATTATCGTAATATTTCAGTAATCGATTTTCGAAAACTTTGTAAGCTGTACCTCACGTCAACTGATTACTTTTACGTCGCCTGTTGTTTTGTGTAGAAAATTCATATTACAGATATGTTCTATCTAAATGATAAGAATTATAATAGCAGAGAAAATAACTCTCAGTCGTAGTGTTGTTTTTATCATATTTTGTCTAGTCAACAAAACAGTCTTTATTTGGGATCTTCTTTGCTAAGTAGTTAGATCGTTATGGGATTGTTTTGGGACTAGTAATCAAACGATTTACCGATTCTCCATGGTGAGCACACAACAAAAACATATCGAACCGTATGAGTAAATAATGCGTAGTTTTGTTTATTCGAAACGTTTTCATTTACTATTTTAATATCTTCCAATTTTATAGTATCAAATAACTTTAAAAAATAAACCAACGATCTAGAAAGTTCCAAATTCTCCTATCATTTAATAATTACATTGCCAGAATTACAAGACCCTCCACCATAAGTTTCCTAATATTCAGTCTATATCTGATAGATCGATCCCCTATTTAACTTGCTGATAGTTTTTTAAGCTTGGATAAAATTCTCAGCCAGTCAGCTACAACGTAGGACCAGGCACATATATGCATCGGAACAAGTTGCCATACCACATTAACACGACAAGATGAACACCGGATTCATAAAAGTAGTTAATTCAAAGGTGGTAATATATAAAAGAAAGATTGCAATAAGGATATAGTACAGGAAGAAAGAATTAGTTCGTAGGAAAAAAGATATGAAGCGATTTTAATCTCTTAGTTTGAGGGCAGACAGAGAGTGTATACACCGACGCCATTGTGATCGATTCTGAGCCATGTCACCAAGAGTCTCCAACCATTGGTTACGATAGTCACGCGGACCCCAACCAAGTAGTCTGCATCTCCCAACATGGCTCAGACTACAAGTTAGTGACTTCAAGCACTGATGCCACGTTTTGGTTTGGCCGCCCCTAACTTTCTTCCAACCATCTCCAACACCGGTTAGCATTGCACGTCGTGTTAATCGGTGTTCGGGCATACGTAACACGTGGCTCAACCGTCTCAGTCGATGAAGATTCATAAGCTGATCAACTGATTTACCATCATTCCCTAATACCCTGCATCTAACCTCACTATTACTTATCCGGTGATCCCAGCAGACGCCAGCATTATTTCTGAGGGATCTGTGGTCAAATATTAGTAGCTTACGAGTACCTTCTATTCTTAATGGCCATGTTTCGCTGCCGTAAATTAAAACAGAACGGACTGCCGCGCAGTATACTCGTCCTTTTATTGATAGACGGATATCTCGCCTTCGCCATAGGTGACGTAAGTTGGCAAAAGCCAAACGACCTTTTCGAATCCGTGCTGAGATTTCGTCAGACACCAACCCATTACGGCTGATCAGACTTCCAAGATAAGTGAAGTTGTCAACGCGTTCGACTACTTCACTCGCTATCCTTAATTCAGGTGTTAACGCAGACCAGTCCTGAAGCAACAACTTGCATTTAGAGGGAGAGAAGCGCATTCCAGACATTCTGGCATTGTTGCTTAGTGCTACCAGAAGACTGCATTTTATCAGCGTCCTCACCAAACAGGACTATATCATCTGCGTATTCTAAGTCGATAAGTAGACCTCCTGGATGGATATCAATAGCTGAGAATTCAGTAGACGAGAATGTTATTTCCACCAATAGGTCTATGATGAAGTTAAACAAAAATGGAGAAAGTGGGCAGCCTTGACGGACACCACTTGAAGTTGTAAAAGCAGATGACAGTTCGCCATAAGCTCTCACTCGACTAGTAGTGTTCGAGTAAAGAGCCTTTACAAGGTTTATGTACTTCTGAGTTACGCCTGTCGATGACAGACACTGCCACAGAATCTCGCGGTCTACGGAGTCAAATGCTGCTTTTAAGTCGAGAAAGACCACCATTGTCGGACGTCGATAAGTATGCCTATGTTCTAGAACCTGATGAATGGTGAATATATGGTCGATGCAGCCATGACCAGGTCTGAAGCCAGCTTGATTCTCTCGTGTTTGCAGTTCACGAGTCTTAGTTAGGCGTCTGATAATTATCGAGGCTAGTATTTTCGATACTATATTAGTTAAACTAATCCCTCTATGGTTGTCACAGGATGATTTTAACCGTCTCTTATATATTGGGACGATAAGTGATTATGACTAGTCATATGGAATAACGTCTAACTCCCAGATCCTAGCTAAAATATTAGTCAACCTAATCGCTAAAATTGGACCACCAATCCATCTGGATCAGCTGCCCTTCCTCGTTTCAGATTAACTATAGCCTTTTGAGCTTCTGCTACAGTTGGGGGACCTACTTCAATGTTCCATTCACACTGTCTGGGAATGGAGGGTAGTTGTAGAGTAGCTGAAGGCCAGCTGAACTGTTCTCTGAAATGTTCCGCCCATCGTTCTAAACGTCTGGACTGGGGGCAGATAAGGGTGTCATCTTTTTTCCGAAATAGTCTGACTTAAAATTGACTTATTAATTCCAGTTTCTTTTATTAGTCTGTAGAGCTGTCTTGTGTTCCCTATAGTCGCCGCCTTTTCCATCTCTTTTGCTTTCATTGCCCACCACTGCTCACGGTCTTTTCTTAGACTTTTTCTTAACCTAGATCTGATTTGTTTGGTGTAAGGGGTCGACATGTTAGACGATGTCTCTCCTTATGCTTAAAATTTGTTCTGTCTAAAAATGAAAGATTGTCTGAGCACAGTTGCAGCAGACGATCACCATTATCTGTTCGTTGTGCCGGAATACTAAAATATCCACCTAAATGCCTTTCTGTTTGGTTTAAACTACCTATTTGTGCATTAAAGTCACGTGCTACGAGTACTATGTTTGAACGTCTAGCTTTCTGTAAAATTCATCTGTCACTTCATCCGAGCTGCAGTCGGTGGGAGCGTAGGCAGAAACGACAAAAAGGCGACGACTTGTGTCCCTATTATTCCGAGTTCTTACGTAGCCGTTTAGCCGAACAGCACATGAACGACTGTTAACGGGGATCCACTCTAACAGTGCTTGTTCCGCCCTCATGCTTAGTGCTACGCCTACACCTGCCGGTCCATGAGAACTGGCCATCGGGTCACCAGATACACGGATGGTGTATCTCGCTGGCTCTCCGTTTTGCCGAGGTGAGGTCAAGTGAATGACCACACTGAGATCTTGTGTGTGTGTGTTTCAGAGACAGCATACATCAATGGTACGAGATTCTAGGGTTCTAGCCAAGGAAGATTATTGACCGATTTGACATAGGGTGCGTACGTTGAAGTCTCCAATGTATAGTTTTGAGAGAAGATTCAGTAGACCTGGAACAGTGTTTTGAGCACCAGAATCGTTGGCTATGGTGACACTTGAGGGGGAAGCCGAAAAAGGAAGTTTAGCGTTGAAAGTTGATGTACGAGGGATAATAGAAATTGAAGAGGGAAGAACACTTTATGGATCAGTTCAACTGGTCTTCAGCCACACTTCGGTTCCCCACGATCTCCAATCGACCTGGATGTTAAGTTGATGTAAGTCCTCCAACTCTTTACGAAGTTGAAAACGCTATAAGAAATCTGAAGCAAGGGAGGGCAGCAGGCCCTGACAGGTTTACCTCTAAGCCTTTTAAGGATGGCGGTTCAGTGTTAGTAGTCAGATTGACTGAGGTCTTGGGTAGAATCTGGGAGCTGGACGTAATCCTCTTTGACTGGTCTCAATCACTGATTGTGCCAGTCTATAAGAAAGGACAAAATTCCTCTTGTGACAATCATAGAGGAATCAGTTTGACTAACATAGTGTCTAAAATACCAGCTTCAATAGTACTTTGGCGCCTAACCGAGGCTCGTAAAGAGCAGACTAGAGAAAATCAGGCTGGTTTTCGACCTGGACGTGGTTGTATAGACCAGGTATTCACACTACGTCAGGTTCTAGAACACAGACACACATTCAGAAGCCCTACAACGGTAGTATTTCTCGACCTCAAGGCAGCATCCGACTCTGTTGATCGTGAGGTTCTATGGCAGTGTTTGTCACTGAAAGGAGTACCAAAGAAGTACATTAACCTTGTAAAGGCTCTCTACTCGAACACAACTGGTAGAGTGAGAGCTTATGGCGAACTGTCATCAGAATTGATTACCTCAAGTGGTGTTCTACCAGGAGGTTCACTTGTTGACTTAGAATATGCAGATGACATAGTTCTATTTGGTGAAGACGCTGACAAAATGCAGTCTTCTGACCACTCTAAGCAACAATGCAAGCATGTTCGGGATGAGATTCTCCCCCTCGAAATGCAAAATGTTGCTTCAGGATTGGGTTCCATCGACACCCGAACTAATGATAGGGAGTGAAGCAGTTGAGCGTGTTGACTGCTTCACTTATCTTGGGAGTCTCATCAGCCTTTGTGGTCTGGTGTGCGACGGAATCTCAGCCCGGATACAGAGGGCTCGACTAGCATTTGCCAACTTGCGTCATTTATGGCGTAGGCGAGATATCCGTCTATCAACCAAAGGACGTGTTTACTGCGCAGCAGTTCGTTCCGTCCTACTTTATGGCAGTGAAACATGGCCGGTAAGATTAGAGGATATTCGTAGGTTACTAGTATTTGATCATAGATGTCTTCGAAACATTGCTCGTATATCCTGGGACCATCGAGTAAGTATCTCAGTTGTTAGGAAACTGGTACTAGGTAAGAATGTCAAATCAATTGATGAAGTGGTGAAACTACATCAGTTGAGATGGATGAGACACATGTTACGTGTGTCCAACTTGAGGTAATCAATTCTGATGACAGTTCGCCATAAGCCCTCGCTCGGCCAGTTGTATTCGAGTAGAGAGCCTTTACAAGTTTAATGTACTTCTTTGGTACTCCTTTCAGTGACAAACACTGCCATAGAACCTCACGATCAACAGAGTTGGATCCTGCCTTGAGGTCGAGAAATATTACCATTGTAGGGCTTCTGAATGTGTGTCTGTGTTCTAGAACCTGACGTAGTGTGAATACCTGGTCTATACAACCACGTCCAGGTCGAAAACCAGGTGAAAACACATGTTACGTGTGTCCAACCACCGACTGCCTCGACGTGCGATGCTCAATCGTATAGGAGTAGGTTGGAAGAAAGCTAGGGGCGGCCAGACCAAAACATGGCACAAATCCATGAAGTCACTGACAAGTGGACTGAGCCATGTTGGTAGGTGTAGACTACCTGGTTGGGGACCACGAGATGATAGCAACCGATGGTTAAAGACCCAGAATGACATGGCTCAAAATCGTTTGCAATGGTGCAGGTGCATCCACTCTTTGTGTTCTCCCAAATTCTAGTCTGAATTCTTCATGTCCTTTATTTTCTTTCCAAATTTATTTCACTGGATTATACTCCTTGAATAAAATCTTCGAACCCTAATCTTTCCGATTACTGCTTATACTCTTACTACCTCTACCACAATGGGATTTGAATCGATAACTGCATCTCTGTGCTAATGTAGTATGGCAACTCGAACTGATGTACGTACGTACGAAGTTCTACGTTGTTACTGACTGACTGAGTGCTATTAGAAGTATGAAAGCAGTTTTTACTTCCCGATCGCTCAAACTGTGTAAGGGTTCTTCTGGACGTACCTGAAAAGGGCAAGAGGTGGTCTTAGTAACCTGAGGACATGACCGCAGTGCCCAAGGGACAAATGCCTAAAGCCAGTCACACACGACCTTCTTGTGGGTAATTTTTTTGTTAGCTCCGTGCTTGTTGGGACCTTACCGCAGGAGATGGATATCCGTGGGATAAGGCGAGGTGTGCATTTTTACGGTCGACCTTTTCTAACCCCACCCTTCCTTGTAGGAAGGCAGCATCGCTGTCATGCTGGTTGTCTGAAGGAAACACCTTACTGTTGTCACACTTCTGTACAGTCGGCAGTACGACTTCGCCTTCGGACCTTGGGTTTGTAGCTTTTAGTCTTACCGCTCTTCAACCGACCTGTCTGACATGGTAGGACCTTGAGGAACGGTTTTTCCAGCCAGTATAGCTTAGTTGCTTCATCACGATAGGCAAGCCCGACCACCACGTCAAGGTAACAACAACGGTCGGAAAAAATTATCAGTCATCGACATTGAAATGTACTATTTACCTTTCTATTGGTTCAACATGGGTTTATTTACATAATCCTAATTTCTGCTATCGGTAATTGGCGATTTATTCTTGTTAGCGTGCAGTATATATTATTTTTTGCCAGCTAACGTTGTAAGCTTGAATGTACTCGCATCCGCGCCCATTACAGTTTGTGTTAATATTTCCTCTCTTTTTGGTACCAAATTATCATACATTTAAATCCAGACTCCGATTTCGGGAAATAATCTTTATTCTTCGACTTTCAAACCAACAAATCTATGTAACGACTCGTTGCATTCCCTCAACTTTACCATGTGTCATTGTAATGTAAATCAAAGTCGATTTCTGCTTGTTCCCTCAGTTGCCGAAGATAATCGACCAATACCCTCTATCTGTAACAAATCAATCAATAGAACTGGTCTCGAAGAGCTTATTGATGTAAGTTCTTCTTAAAGAACGTTTTAGGTTATCATAGATAAATACATTTCTACTTGCTATAATGCATTTCTAAGACGCTTTTCAGTGGATTGCTGTATATATATTTTCTTATATACCTAAACTAATTGATATGGTCATTTTTATTAGGTAACTCATAAGATTTTATGATTTTTGCCCCTGTCAATTATCACGTGACAAAATCGCCAATCAGAACATCGACTTATAAGACCTTGTTGTTGTGTTAAACCAATGACAAGTCAAAACAGTACTGGCAGCTTTGCGCAAACTCTGAATCTTTATTGATCCTTCTCGCCTAGTCCTAACCGTTGAGTCCAGAAAGCAAATCTCAACCTCCGCTATATAAATCATGTATTTCAAACATACACAGTTTATGTACAAGCAAATCAGACCGCATCATATCATCAAATAGAAAATAACAATTATACACGATCAAGCCAAAAGTGGCTGTGAGTGTGAGATATTGAGAATAAATTAAGAATAGTAAATCAAATAATAGTAATCAATAGGTCAAATGAAATTTTATGATAAAATGAATATATATATATATATATATATAGTTACTTTATGGTTATCCAATTAGAACGTGTGTAATAATAGTTCATCAATAATTTCTAGCAATTAACACTCATTTATTCTTCGTTAGGATATAATATAAGATTTATCTAGATTGTAATACTCTGGCCAGACAGGTTGTTCATTGGTTAATCGTAAAGATTCTAACTTAACATATTCTGCGTATAAATATTCTAAAGTAAATTAGTTCTACAAACTTGATAACTGGTGTACCGTAGTTAAGGTTGCATGTTATCTACTGGTTGACCTTTGTTTAATGTATCGGTTTTCTATCTCCCTTTCTTGATAGATTTATCCCATTAATTACCAAATCAGTGTAAATATTATTGCTATTACACAGTTTATTTTTGTACACCAACTTTCAGTCGTTGGTTTCTTTACATACATCAAAAATCTTTCTGTTTTGTTAGCTCAGTGCTGGGATTGCTAAATGATTGTACTAATGAAAAACCTATTTTACCCTCAACTTTTAAACTGTTTTCCGTAAAAATTGAAACCAATTGCATATATTGTTGTTTGCTTTTCGCAAATGAATTTTAGAGCCTTGCACAGCTTCACTTTGAAAAATCAGAAATTCTATGCGCTACCTAATAACTGTAAATCAACGTTTTATCGCTTCAGAACTGTAAGTATATTTTTGAATTTATGAAACATTGCTTCCAAAATCATCAGAAATTATTTCTTTAAGAGTTATTGTTACATTTTGTAATTATCAATAGTAATTGCACTTCGGATTGTTTACTTTTGAGCATATGGTCAGTTTTATTCAGAGTAAGCATACAGACATCGTCAACATAGAGCCTGTACGTTGGCCCGATTTTCAAAGCCTCATTAGCAGGAAAAAATGGAAATAAAAAACAAGTCCGAATGATGTAATAGCAATGATAAATAAATAGAAATAAATATTGAGAGTAAGTTTGGGAAGTTTGAGCGAAAACGTATAATTGGAACGGTAATGAGATTCAAGATCTAGAGGAAGATAAACAGTAAATGCGTCTGCACTACGATAAGCGATTCTGAGATATACCACCTAAAGTCTCTAAAAATTAACACTCGTTCAATTTGGTCATCTAGTTTGTTTAACGAAGATGACGTATTCACCGTAAGTAGAATAGTTGTTGGATCATAATTGTTACAGACTGACACAATGTTTACATCTCGGTATAACTTGCCTAAGATAAGAAAGCTTGGTTAGTGGAAACTTTAGGTATCTGTTCAAATAAGAACCTATGCGTAGCATGTAATAATGTAATAAGAAGACGACGATTATCAGAACTATGTGATATATTAGCGCAATACAAATTGAACAATCTGATCACACATACTTGTTAAGAACATATGTATTAAAATAAAATAAAATAAAAATAAAATAGGAACAAAATTAAATGTTACTGTTTTACAAGCTTTGAATTAAATGAAATAACGTCCCCAAAAATAGCTTCCGTAGTTTGTCTAGGCTTCTTGTTCTCTGTTCATATCACAACCTACACTAAGCAATGAAGTGTCAGAAAATCAATTTCATACCCATTGATAAACCACAGATGGGTAGAATACTTCGAGGAACTCCTGAATAGGCCGGCTCCAATGAATCCACCGGACATCGAAGCAGCACACATAGATCTTCCTATAGATGTCAATCCAGCAACTACGGAAGAAATTAGAATGGCCGTCAGACAAATCAAGAACGGGAAAGCATCAGGACCCGACAACATACCAGCTGAAGCACTGAAATCAGACATCGAAGCAACCACAAGCATGCTTTATCTTCTATTCAAAAAGATTTGGGAGGAGGAACAAGTGCCGATGGACTGGAAAGAAGGACACCTCGTCAAGATTCCAAAGAAAGGAGATCTGAGCAAATGTGAAAACTACAGAGGCATTACACTACTGTCAATACCAGGGAAAGTCTTCAACAGAGTTTTGCTGAACCGGATGAAGGATGCAGTAGACGCCCAACTTCGAGATCAACAAGCTGGATTCCGTAAGGATCGGTCGTGCACAGACCAAATTGCAACACTACGGATCATCGTCGAACAATCAGTTGAGTGGAACTCGTCACTATACATCAACTTCATTGATTATGAAAAGGCATTCGACAGTGCAGATAGGAGGACATTATGGAAACTTCTTCGACACTACGGAGTTCCTGAGAAGATTGTCAATATTATCCGGAACTCATACGACGGACTACAGTGCAAAGTAGTGCATGGAGGACAGCTGACAGATGCATTCCAAGTAAGGACCGGAGTCAGACAAGGCTGTTTACTCTCTCCCTTCCTCTTTCTTCTGGTGGTCGACTGGATTATGAAGACCTCAACATCTGAAGGAAAACACGGAATACAATGGACAGCTCAGAACCAATTAGACGATTTGGACTTCGCAGATGACCTAGCCCTCCTATCACGTACACACGAACAGATGCAGATGAAGACAACCAGTGTAGCAGCAGTCTCTGCATCAGTAGGCCTCAACATACACAAAGGGAAAACTAAGGTCCTCAAATTCAAAGCGGAGAACAGCAATCCAATCACTCTTGATGGCGAAACTCTGGAAGATGTAGAGTCCTTCACATACCTGGGAAGCATCATCGATGAACAAGGAGGCTCAGATGCAGACGTAAAGGCGAGGATCGGCAAAGCAAGGGTCGCATTCCTACAATTGAAGAACATATGGAACTCAAAACAACTTTCAACCAATATCAAAGTGAGAATCTTCAATACGAACGTCAAGGCAGTTCTACAGTATGGAGCTGAAACTTGGAGAACTACAACAACCACAATCAAGAAAGTACAAGTATTTATAAATAGCTGTCTACGCAAGATACTCAACATCCATTGGCCGGATACCATCAGCAATAGCCTTCTGTGGGAGAGAACAAACCAACTTCCAGCTGAAGAAGAAATTAGGAAAAGACGATGGAGATGCATAGGACATACATTACGCAAATCGTCAAACTGCATCACGAGGCAAGCCCTAACTTGGAATCCTGAAGGGAAGCGAAAAAGAGGAAGGCCAAAGAACACATTACATCGGATAATAGAAGCAGATATGAAAAGGATGAATTACAACTGGACGGAGCTAGAAAGGATTGCCCAGGACAGGGTTGGATGGAGAATGCTGGTGAGCGGCCTATGCTCCTTCACGAGGAGTAACAGGCGTAAGTGATAAACCACATATGTTTTAATTACAATATCTCTTCAATCGTAGCAGATATTTTGAGAAAACTAGCTAATAACAATTTGAAGCAATAAGCTATATCACTTAACAGTTACGTTTGAGGATGAATGTAAAGAATAAATTTTTTCATGGACTATTTTAATTTTTTAAGGACTGTTGATTAATTATACGACAAAGACGCGACCAACTATTCACTTTTTGTTATGATGGGACACTCGATTTTAACGTTTTTATACTCGTTCACACCTAGGATTCTATCTTCCTGAATTTTTATTACATTTTTGTTGCATTTATTCTTTAAACACATAGGTGATTCAGGCAAACATGTACTTGATGGTTTTTGTATTGTATAGTATAGATATTTCAATACTGTGTTTCCAACACATTTTGACACTCATAATTTAAATCACATTAATAGTCGTATTACGTGTTATCCGGAGGATGGTGTAGTTCTGAATGTGGTTTTTAACATATTTTGACTGCTTCCTTTTATATTCTAAAAGGATTTTTAGATCTTTTTTTTGACAACCTTAATGTTGAAAATGTAAAACTTCGTGAAATTTCCTTCAAAACATCATTGTAGTTCTTTGAATTGACAACTATAACTAGTTATTTTATCAAGATATTCGGTGTCGAATGTAACTACGTATCAAGACGTAAATCACCGAAATACCGTTTATTATCAAACCCATTGGTTTCGTGCCACTTTGCCAATACTGCTTTTCTGTTGTCACCTAAATATTTCAGTGATTCCATATCATACACTCAGTAATTTGTTTCTTTCTATTTCTGATAAGAAAGTGAATCGGATCAGGTGACTTATTATTAGCATTCCAAAATTCTTATTAGGTTAGTCACATTTTACGAATGCTGTACTTTATTCTGGTCGAAATCAATGTTTTATTTTAAGAAAGTTTAATGGAATTAACTAGTTCGTTTTTATCTTAATTGTTAGCTCCATTTTCTAAATATTTATCCACTGATCATTTATATTGTCATATCGTTTTGTGATTAAAGAGGTTAAAATATTAGCATTTTAACATTTGTAAGCTATTAATCCATACTCCACATACTTCGGTTAGAATAGCCGGGTAGCAGCACATGATGGCTCAAAACTGAATACATAAATTTGTGCTTGGTAAATGAATCAAAATATCTAAACGCATGTTTTAACTGTCATTGCTGCTACTGTTATTCTGTTATAATTCAGTTGAAAGTAGGTATTTTTACACATAGTGTATCATAGCTCATTGTTATATTTTAATACGAACACGGTTGTAAGCAGTTGAAGATAAACCACGAAATAAAATGCATTCAAATTATTTTGCCTCAGTTGTGGTTTTAGCCTTATTGAAATAGGTATTGGCTGTCGTGCTTTGAAAAATTATTTCTCACAAACCAAATATCTCGTATAAGATCTTCAGGAAATTCACGGATTACCACATCCTGGATAACTAGACACCTTACTGCCGCAAATTTTATTGTATTCAAAACAAACTCATCAAAACACATGCAGTTTTTCGTCATTTGAGCTATGTTTCAGTTGACACTATTAAAGGTATCAAGTAATCTAGTCCTGGAAGGTTCGGAATATATATAATATTCCCTAAATTTAATTTGCAGTACAGTAATGAAGTACAATAATCCCAGTATATAGTAAAATTAAAATTTACAAACTATATATATACGCATTTTTTTCTTCGTTTAAATATTACTGATCACTGTTCACCGAATTTTTTTTAGACTACATATCCTGAGGATTTGGATACTTAAATATATTTTTTATAGTTCTAGCAGATATCTGGCGCTTCTTTTGGGAAGTTTTTCTTGGTAAATTTTCCATGACCTTCCTAATTGTAACTTTCCTCAAGATGCAGCTGATATACTTTATTTCAAAAAAGTGGATTTTTATTTATGCCGTTTTGTTTTGTGTGTCTATTCTGGTCCTAGCTTAACTTGATATATTTATGTATGTCTATTCAAACTTTATTTATTCAGAGATAGTGCCACTACTTTCAAAAAGAAATTTATTTAATTTCCGGATTTTTTAAAATGCATTCCTCAGAACATAGTATGGTTTTTTGAGATTATCAACTGTGATGCCCTTTATTTACTTATGCACGTTTGGTATTGAATGTTTTTCTGCAATAATAATTTTAATCAAGAAATCATTTACTTTTGGTTTTCTCACCAGAATTGATGTATGTATGCAGATGTGGGTTCGTTGCTTTGATCAAGTTGGTTCGCTTTACAATATCACTCATTATTTGCCGATGCCTTTATGTCTATCACTTGATATTCATGTTTTTCAAAGGTTTGTTAGCGGAAATTCACTATTGCCACTTTCTTCTATTTTACAATATAGTGTCTGCAGAAAATTCAGACTATTGACAGGAATTCTTCATGTCAATCGCTGTACAATAAAATTAGATATCATGGCCTCATTGATCTAAATTGTTTATTTTCTTCACAGTAACAATGTTTTATCAGATTGCTTGTTTCGAGGCGCTGAGTTCACTGTCTACCTCTTTTCAAAATTGTTAGTATTTCATATTATTTTACTACATATATAAAATCGTTATCAAAATATATCGTAATGTCTACTTATTTAGGTTTATGTATTTGTGAAATAAGTGCAAAATTATAGTTCCAATAATTTGAACAAGATGTGATTAATTTCCATTTTCCCCACATCTAGTTGACGTTAACCCTTGGAATCTTGTTCATTCGCTAACAAAAAATCACCATTATTGATTATAGTATTTATGATTAGTTAAATTCATATTTCTCTATGGTACCATATTTTATTTACCCATATCACTCGTTGTATATCTTCTCATAACTGTTTTCAAAATGAACTTATGTATGACATAAATCGTCATACTTGTCAGGTCACATGCATGTGTTGAAGTTGAGTTGTTTTTGAGGATACTATGTTTTAAACGAATGTGTAAATTAGGAAAAAGTAATCACGTTAATGTTAAATGTGACGTACATGCATAGTCGTTGTACTTCCGTTCAAAGATTTATGAATATAACCCAGTTAGTGTGTGGGGGGGGGAACTGTCATTTCGATTTGATGGCAGCCTGTGTGAGCGGTTTAGTTGGTAAGGTAACTAACATGCGCGCCTTGAAGATTTGTGTTCACACAAAAACACATGACACAATCATTGTAATAAGGATTGTCTCTATTCCATACTAACAAAATAATCATTCCCGTTAACCAACACTTGAGTGTGGTTTAGTCACCCAAGTATCCATGATTATCAAGTGTTTGAAATGACTGGACAATTGAACTAGCATATTATCAATGGATAATTACTAAAAGGAACCTGTCATTGGGATGTATATATATGATTTACAATAATGAAATAATACTCGTCGAGTGGATACGTTAAGTAATAATTACATAATGACAATTCGATTATAAATTAAAATTGAGTAATTGAAAGAAGGAGGATTAATAATAGTCAAAGTAATTATTCGTGTTAGCGGGACATAGACTAGACTAAAGCATGCTCAATGCATGATTGCTTTGGTGCACGCTGATTGGCTAATTCTTATCCAATCAGCGCTAGTCGATAGTTGGGGAATATTCTGGATTCTTCTTATGTAAAAACTATAAATATACCGACGTTTTCCCCTATTGTGCTTCCTACTGGCTTCTGACTTGCTAATTGGAATATAATCTCTTTCCTGTTCAACCGTGTTCTGATTTGGGGACTTGTCGAGTGAATCGGTGTCCGAGAATACTAAGCAATAGGAATAGCTGGGTCATTAACTGTAAGAAGACACAGAATATAACAATTCGAAAATCAAGAAGTTGCTACGTTACATAGTATATAAAAAAAAGAGAAGGAACAGGATATTTTGATGAGTGGTCAGTAGAGTAGTAGTTGTGCAAGAATCAAGAGATCAATGTTGAAAATGATTAAAATACAAAGTTCAAAAAAATGGAAGAAGAAAGTAGTTTATCAATGTTCTGCTACAAACTCCCCTATACCGATGGCCAAGGTAGCGAAAGTAGTTGTACAAACTTCTTTTGGATGCAAAGGTTAGGTTTGTGAACATGGATTGCAATGGCTTCAGCAATGTGCAAAAGACGCACTCGTAAACCATGTGACATATTCGATGGAATATGGTAGATAACCTTAAAAGCTTTATTCAGTTCAACTTGATGACCTGTGTCAACCAAGTGGGCCTGTCCTTTGCTCAACCACGATGGATGGTGCTCTGTTATACGATGACGAACTTGCCGAATTGTACGCCCCATATAACTGGCTCCACAGAACCAGTTTAATCGATAAGTACACATAGATTTGGCGAATTCAGGCAATCTGTCTTTATTGGCTGTTCTTATTGTGGGGCGGTTGTAGAAGGTAGCACTCAGTCTGACTGCATTAAATGTTTTTTGTACCGCTTTTCTCAAACTATGAGTCACAATTTCTTCAGTAGTATCATTTGGGAATTGTAATTTTAAATACAATACTTCCTTCGGAACGGTAGGCAGCTTTATCCTTTTCATCTCCTTCATGTGTTTTCACTGGGTACCCATTCCTACTAAGTAAGTTACGAATATTTACCAATTCATGTACAATAATGTCGTCCGAACAAACCATTCCAGCACGATGAGTCAGGATCTTTATCAAGTTCCTTTTGTATCTAATAGGTACTGCACTATAGAAATAAGTGTATTGTCCTGCTGCAGAATTTCTGTGTAACCCTCTTTTTAAAGTTCCATCTGCTCGTCTAGTTAGTTGGACAGCTGGAAACGTTAAGCTACGGTTCTTTTCTTCTTCTAGTGGAAAATTAATAGATGAATGAACGTTATTAAATATAATAAGTAAACTGTCCTTTACCTGTTCTTTTTCTAATACTACGAAAGTATCATCCACATAGCGATAATAAGATGTTAAATTGCTAATTGTGTTTTTAAGTGGTCCATTCTCCAGTTTTGCAAGGAAAATGGAGGGCCCAATAGTGACCCCATCTAGTTGTCTAATCGGGATTGGATAGAATCTCTTGAAAAAAGTTGTATGATATTACACTTTGCCTGATAGGACCTCTATGTTTTTTTCATTTTGATAGCTTAAATTCATCCGGATTGAGTGTCATTTCATTGCTGCTGATAAAAGAAGCCTACATGTTCTCTTCTAGTATGAAAACACTCCATTCATTTAACGGTTGAAAATTTACCGTAACATGGAAATACGTCTATAAAGTAATGAGATCAGTTAGATAAAAACTAGAAGTTTTTCCCCTTTTGTTACCATCTTTCCAATGGGTTTATCTGTATTTGTTAAAAATATCTCTATCCATAAATTATTCAAATAATTATCATTCAACTTACTGTTAGTTTTGAATTCACGTTAAATAACCGCATTCCGTTTGTAACAAACATAAGATGGCCAGCAAATTAATTGACCAGGTATGCGCATTTATTGCACTATATTTCTGGTGTGAGATATCAAATCTACGGGCACCTTTTACTTTTGATAGTTTAATTAGACCTTTTCTCATCTTTAATTAGACTACATACAATGCATTTCTAAATAAGAAACATCTATTGCAATGAACCTGTGCTTTGTATTTAGTTTATCCAAAATGAAAATACCGATGTTTGGCGGACTTCACAAACTCCATTCGTATTCTTATCTGCTTACGCAATCATCATTATTCTCCCTAAGACTTCCAAAATATTCAAGCTTGCAAACTCGTTTGTTACATTCGGGACACAAAACAGAATTATTTGGTGATAAAAATGAATCTTGGGTACCCATATATCGTTTCCGTTCCATAATTTTCCTCCAGGTCTGTTTCCAATTATTTGTCTTCTAAAAATTAGTAAGTCACTAACACGAAATATATATATATTAAGCATGTAGTCCAACACAGTTAACCAGTTCTTCAAGGATTAGCAACATGTAATCAGACCTCCTTACATGTTTCATCCGAAGCATATTCGAGGGCGATTGTGCTGATAGATTTTAGGTGGTTCATGTTTGTGCTAAAGTGGTTTACTGTGGTTCTGCCATAAGCAAAATCATGGATATTTTTAAACCCTTGCCGTTTTTCAATAGTCGCAGGATTTCTTAAGACAGGAATCCGTCGATAATTGATGGTGTGGGAACAGTTAAAAAAATCTCACACTGTATAAGTGGGCATACTGAAAATGTATGTAGTCCATTGAATTTGATCGTAGGTTTTTGGAAAATTTGTCCACCACTAGATGTTATTCCATTACAAAAAAGCTTGAGGTCTTCATTCAATCGATATATGTCCAAACTTTCTTTTACATTGTAGACCCAATGGTCATTATGACTATGAAATAGCCCAACACACCCCACCTCTACTCAATATTTTTACAATTTAATCCATATTAGTTGCGGTATTATTACGGAACATAATAAATGTCGTTTAAGACATAATTGCTACAATAACAAGTATTGGACAGTGTTTGCAAACTGGAACTTATTCCTTGTCTTAAAACCTGCCAGTAGACATCCAAAAGTCACACATGTTTCAATTATTTTCATGAGAAATTAGTAGTATTTAAATTGTTGGTAACTAGACGATGTATTAATAATTTAACTTACAATTATTTTCCTAGGCGATCTCACAACTTAAAATTATATTAACTGGCTCATTAATTTCTGGCTGTCCAGTAGCTATATACAAATACCTACATGATCAAGTTTCTTCCTCATTAGTTTATACATTTCTGGGTTGTGCCGTGTTTTCCCTGTGCAGTCTGATTATTTTCAGTTGGCTCA